AAACTATAAAAGATTGATATAGGAAATGGAAGAAGAGACAAATAAATGAAAAGATAGCCCATGTTCATGGATTAGAAGAAATAATATTGTTAAAATGTTTATGTTACCCAAATCAATCTGCAGATTCAATGCAACTTCTATCAAAATATTAGTAATATTGTTCATGGAAACAGGCGAAACAATCAGAAAATTCGTATGGAACCACAAAAGACTCTGAATAGCCAAATCAATTTGGAGCAAAATGAACAAAGCAAGAGGAGGCATCACATTATGACCTGCCTTCAAAATATTCTTAAAAGCCGTAATAATAAAAACAGCATTGTACTACCATAAACGTAGACATACAGGCCAAGGGAACAGAGTAGAGAACACGGAAATAAATCAATGTACTTACACGCAACCGATTTTCAATCAAGGCACCAAAAACACACACTGAGGAAAGGGCAGTCTTTTCAAAAGTTTTGCTGGGAAAACTGGATATCCATATGCATAAGAATGAAATTAGACCCGTATCTTTCACCACATAAAAAATAAACTCTAGATAGATTAAAAACTTAAATATGAGAACTGAAACAACAAAATTACTAGAAGAGGCCAGGCACAGTGGCTCATGCTTATAATCCCAGCACTTTGGGAGGCTGAGGCGGGCAGATCACCTGAGGTCAGGAGTTCAAGACCAGCCTGGCCAACATGGTGAAACCCTGTCTCTATTAAAAATACAAAAATTAGCCAGGCACGGTGACAGGTACCTGTAGTCGCAGCTACTTGGGAGGCTGAGGCAAGAGAATAGCTTGAACCCAGGAGGCGGAGGTTGCAGTAAGCCGAGACTGCACCACTGCACTGCACCCTGGGCAATAAGAGTGAAACTCCATCTCAGAAAAATGAAACAAAACAAAAAAACCACTACAAGAAAACACAGGGGAAATGCTTCATGATATTGGTCTGGGTAAGGATTTTTTAAAAATAATACCTCAAAAGCATAGGCAACAAAAGCAAAAATAGACAAATGGAATTATGTCAAATTTTAAAAAGCTTCTGCACAGCAAAGAAGTCAATAAACAGAGTGAAAAGACAAGCTATACAATAGGAGAAAACATTTGCAAACCATGGATCCGACAAGGGGTTAATATCAAGAATGGATAAGGAACTCAAACAAATTAGTAGCAAGAAAATGAATAATCTGATTAAAAAGTAGGCAAAAGACCTGAATAGATATTTCTCAAAAGACAGCATACAAATGGTCAACAGGCACATTTAAAAAATACCCAACATTACTCATTATCAGGAAAATGTAAGTCAAAATCACAATGAGATATCACCTTATCCCAGTTAGAATAGCCAACCAAAGAGTCAAAAAGTAACAAAAGCTGGCATGAATGTGGAGAAAGGGGGAATCTCATACACTGCTGGTAGGACTGTAAATTAGTGCAGCCATTATGGAAAACATTTTGGAAGTTCCTCAAAAAATTAAAAATAGAACTACTATATGATTCAGCAATCCCACTACTGGATATATATATCCAAAGCAAATGAAATCATGATATCTGCACTCCCGTGTTTATTGCAGCACTATTCACAAGAGCCAAGGTACAGAATCAACCTAAGTGTTCCTCAGTGGGTGAATGTATAAAGAAAACGTGGTACATATTCCCAGTGGAATACTACTCAGCCATAAAAAAGAATGAAATCCTGCCATTGGTAGCAACATGGATGAACCTACGTAGGGGACATTTGGTTAAGTGACATAAGCCTGTCACGGAAAGACAAATACTGCATGATCTCATCCATATGTGGAATCTTAAGAAGTTGATCTCATAGACGTAGAGAGTAGAATAGTGGTTTCCAGAACCTGGAGAGGGAGGATGAAGAGGGGTTGGTAAATGAGTATAAAAACACAGTTAGCTAAAAGGAATAAGTTCTAGGGTTGGATGGCACTCCAGGGAGACTAGAGTTAACAATGCTGCATTCCATATTTCAAAATAGTTAAAAGAGAATTTTCAATGTTTTCGCCCCAAAGAAATGGTATATGTGTGTAGTGATGGATGTGCTAAATACTGTGATTTGATCATTACACAATGTATACATGTATCAAAACATTGCACTGTATCCCATAAACACGTAAAATTATCCTGTGTCAATTAAATGCAAAAGACAAAAAGAAGAAAAAACAAACAAGGCTGAGGCAGGAGGATCACTTAAGTCCAGGAGTTCAAGACTAGCCTGGGCAACATAGGGAGACCCTATCTATACATAAGAAGGAAGGAAGGAAGGAAGGAAGGAAGGAAGGAAGGAAGGAAGGAAGGAAGGAAGGAAGGAAGGAGGGAGGGAGGGAGGGAGGGAGGGAGGAAATTCATTAACTAGGTGTGGTGGTGCATGCCTGTGGTCTCAGCTACTTGAGAGGCTGAGGCTAGAGGATCACTTGAGCCCAGGAGGTCAAGGCTGCAGTGAGCTGGTGTTCATACCACTGCACTCCAGCTGGACAACAGAGTAGGACCCTGCCTCAAAAACAAAACAAAAATAAAAAACAGGCCAAAGAAGTTTGGACACCCCATTAAAGTAGATACACAGGTAGCATACAAGCAAGCACATGGAAAAACCTCATCAGTTATTAGGAAAATGGAAATCAACATCTTGATAAAATACTATGCACCCATTAGAATAGCTTTAAAAACAACAATACTAAATGCTGGCAAGGATCTGGAGAAACTAAAACTGATTTTTTAAGAGATACAGTATTACTGTGTCATCCAGGCTAGAATGCAGTGGTGCGATCATAGCTCACTGCAGCCTCGAACTCCTGACCTCAAATGATCCTCTCACCTAAACCTCCCAAGTAGCTAAAACTACAGGTTTGTACCACCACACCCAGCTAGTTTTATTTTTTATTATTTTTTATTTATTACTATTATTTGAGATGGAGTCTCGCTCTGTTGCCCAGGCTAGAGCTCTGTGGTGCAATCTCAGCTCACTGCAACCTCTGCCTCCTGGGTTCAAGCAATTCTTGTGCCTCAGCTTCCCAAGTAGCTGGGACTACAGATGCCTGCCACCACACCTGGCTAATTTTTCTGTATGTTTAGTAGATAAGGGCTTTCACATGTTGCCCAACCTGGTCTTGAACTCCTGAGCTCAGGCAATCCGCCTACCTACAGGTACCTACCTGTACCTACTACCTACAGTAATTAAAAAAAATATTTTGTAAAGATGGGGTCTCACCATGGTGAGGTTTGGAGGATCTCAAACTCCTGGCCTCAAGCAATCCTCTCCCCTTGGCCTCCCAAAGTCTTGGATTACAGGCGTGAGCCACAGTGCCCAACCAACTAAAACTCTTATACATTGCTGATGGGAATGCAAAGTCCCTTTGGAGCACGGTTGAGTAGTTTCTCCTAATGTTAAACAGATTTACTACACGCCCTGGCAATCTTACCCCTACATATTTTCCCAAGAGAAATAAAAATGTATGATGACACCAAAACCCGTATACAAATGTTGAGAGTCCTTTATGTGTAATATCAACTGGAAACAGCCCAGACATCCTTCGGCAGGTGAATGGTTAACAAATTGCTGTATGTCCACGCCATGGAACACCGCTCCCCATAAAAATGAATGAATGACTGATACATGCAACCACATGGCTAAATCTCAGAATCACTGTTTGGCAAAAGAAGCCAGATTCAAAAGGCTACATCCTGTACGATTTCGTTTATGTGACATTCTGGAAAAGGTAAAGCTATAGGGACTGAAAACAGGCCAGCCATTCCCAGAGGCTGGAGTATGCGGAGGGGCTTGTCTGACAAAGGGGTGCAGAGAGTTTTTGAGCTGATGGAAACCGTCTCCATCTTGATTCCACAATCAAGATGGCAAATGTGCATTTGCCAAAGCTCTCAGAATGGCCACAGAAAGTCAGAATTTTATCATATGTTAATTGTATCTCCAGAAGAGCAGGATGCCAAGCGCCCCTTAGCCATATGACCCGGGCCATGTGACTTAATCTCTGAGCAGTAGCTTCCTAATCCATAGAAAGGGGATGACAATAAAACCCACAGACTTGAAGGATCAGCTGAAGACATACACACACACACACACACACACACACACACTGTGTAAAGGACTGCATAAAACATCCAGACACTTGGAGCACTAAAAACTGTCCCCAGTCCCAGGAATCAGCTGGATGCACCACCCAGCCTCTCCAACAGAGGCGAGACCTCCTTCACATGGAAGCGTGCAGACCTCACGTGCAGGTCAGGAGTGGAAAGTAGTGGGGCTAATGTTGGGCTGTGCTCTGCTACTGGCATTGGCAGTGGAATCTGTGGGCTCCCTTGGGAACATGTCAGACAAGTAATGGCATCCATCACAAGGGTCCAGATGGAGCTCTGAGGGGAGGCTGGTCTGCAGCCAGAGTCGGGGCACCCATCTGGAATGAGCCTGAGGACAGCAGTTCCTGAGCTGTGTCAGACGCTCCGAGGAGGCAGGCCCCCAGGGTGGGTTGTGTCACCCTCTTGCTCTGGCCCTGTGAACCGTGAGCTCCCTTTGCTTAAGAGAAGGAGGCCTCGCAGCTCCTAGAGGGCCAGGCCCTGGCTCAATTTCTCCAGGGTCTTCAGAGGGTGGGGAAGTGACTGGGCCGAAGTGGGAAGGAACCGGCCCTGCGCCCTGGCTCGGGTTCCTGCTCCTGCTCGCAGAGCTGTTCCGCAGGGAAGCGGCCGGTGAAGATGAGTCACTGATTCAGGGCTGTGGGCCAGGCGCTAGTCCAGGCTGTAAAAGTTATTATGCAGCACCACACGGAAGGCGAGGGACAGAAATAGTGTCCCAGGAAAACCTGTGGCCCTGACTTGGAAACCAAACCTCTCTGCAGCCACGGGACCCCCACCTGCAGCCTCGCAGAGCCTGCCCTGGCCACCCCAGTCTGGGCTAACCGTCCTGGCTTCTCCTCTGGGGTTCTCTTGCCTGGGTCCCCGCTTCGCTCAGCCTCACCGCACTCCTCCGGGAATCCTGTGCTGGGACTCCATCCTTTCCTGTCTAGACGACTGTGAGGGCCTTTAGTCACCTCCTAGAGAAGCAAGCTTTCCAAACCTGGCTTTCCACCCCCACACCCCACAGTAAGGAAGATAAATTACCCACCCACCATCTGCCCCCACTTCTTTCCACGGAGCCTTGTGCAGCCTTGTGGCCACTCACGTCTGTTTCTAAGGGAACAGTCAAGGACGAATCAGCAGAGAAGCTGGCAGTGGTGCTCCAGCGGGGCTGGGCCCTGCCTTCCTGCGCTTCCCACCAGGGAGCCACTCTATTCTGTTCTGCCATCTCCCAGGCTGGTCAGGGGACAGGGTCATGTTCATACAGTGCTAAGGGGACACGCTGACACGTGTGACCTCAAGAACTCCAGTGCCCACAGCCTAAGTCTGGGTGGTGAGCTCCAGGGAGTCCCAGCAGGGCTGCAGTGGGGTGGGAGGGGACGCTGACAGAGCCCCGGGGGGAAGGAGACTCCTGCTGAGCCCAGAGCCCAAGGACCTGGCCAAGGGGTAGGGTTGGGAGGGACGGAGCAGGGGGCAACAGGCTAGAGAAGAGACAGCTGGGGTGGAAGGACCTCAGCAGGGTCGTCTCACAGCACACAGTGGACTTGCTCTGTGCTGCTGCAGAGTGACTGACAGGTCAGAGCCAGGCTGCCGGCGACAAGCACAAAGCCGCACCTCTTCCTCCTCCTCCTCCCTCTCGCTGTGGAGTACCTACTCAGTGCTGGAGGCTCTGAATGGCACAGGGATGGAGGGTGTACTACAGAGTGTCTGGGCCCTGCCCCCGTCTGGCAGGGAGATCGGTCTGGTGGGGAGACCAGCCCGGGCAGAAACAGCAGTGCGTGCACCGGGCACACCCCGGCTCTGGCTGGAGGCCTCAGAGGTCTGAGGGCTTTCCAGCACGGATCTCCGTGTCTGAGCCCCCCATGGAACAGGATGGGGGCTGCCAGCCGAATCAAAACCCAGCTCCCCCGACTCCAAGTGGAGACGGGCAGGAGCACTCCTAGGAGGCGCATCAGCAGTCAGAACCAGGAGCTGTCCTCTGGGCTTGGGCCGCTGGAAGGCCGGCTGCTGGCCAGGCCCCCTGGACTCAGGAGCCCAAGGCCAGGACATTCACCAGGGCCAAAGAGAACCCCGCCAACAGGGCTGAGCCGCCTCCCCCCAGCTTCCCAACAGCAGTGCTGCCTGAACATTTCCTTCCCGAAAGACAGGGGCTGTTAACTACTTCCCATCCGAGTCACAGGGACGTGTGAAATCAGCAAGCAGTGGGGGGGCTGGATCCACATTTCTGTGCACACCAGCCAGGCACATCAGAAGGCTCATGGGCAGAGGATGCTGGGACAGATGCCACAGGAGGTTCCTTTTGGTCTGGCTCACCCAGAACAGAGGGTCCTCTCCTCCCTTCCCTGCAGCACAGCAGCCTGGCTGGCACCGAGGGCAGCCGGCGTGGGCTGACCTCAGAGTAGCAAGGCATGTTTGCAGCTCTGTCGCTCACATCCACAGTGGCCATGACAACAGACGCGGCACCATCCATTAAAGCTCTGTGTCCTTACACTTAATTCTCACACCGACCCCAGGAGAAAGGGGCTACTGTCCCCATTTTCCAGATGAAAAAGGAAGTTGGTCCTTAGAGCGATAATCCTCCCAAGGCTAGTGATAAGGCTCAGACATGAACCCAAGGCCCTCCAAGGTCTCAAGCCAGACAAAGAAAGCCCAACTCTGGCCTGGCAGGGGAAGGGGGAGGCCACACCGGGAGGGGTGGATGCTGATTCTGAAGGCACCCCCCCCCACCCCCGGTAAACCGCTCCAACAACAAAAAAGGAATTTCTGTACGTTATCTGCAAAAAGCCCAGTGAGGGGGTGGGAGGGAAAAGCAATCAAAGCAAAGATCAATTGTGTTGCAGACAACGTGGGAAGAAGACAGATCTAGCTGGAAATTCCTTCTGACTGGACTCTGCCAGGATCAGAGTATTTTTCATTCCAAGATTAAGCAAAATTCTTTTCTTGTCATAACCCCCTACCCATCTGTGTTCAAACTCCCAGCATCATTTTTATACTGTGCACATTTTAAAATCTATTCTGCAGCTTTCTGTGTGTGTGTGTGTTAGTTGACACTAACCTTCCTCCAGCTTTAAGAAGAACAGAGAAGCACAAGAGGCCCCGGGGAGCACCCGGGCTGGGGGAGCCTCAGGCTGGGACCCTGGCGGGACAGTGGCAAGGGGCTAGGACAGCTGGGAGCCTACCTGCTGGCAGAGGCAGCTGCAGCCATGGAGCTCAAAGACCCCATGCCCTGGCTTGGACAGAAACAGAGAACAGACGGGAGAAGAGAATGGAAATTTCTTAATAAGGGATTGGATTTGGGACAAGCAGAAACTAGAATTATGAGGTCTCCTGGTTGGGGCAACTATGTGGCTAGTGATGTTGGCATGACCGTGGGAGAGAGAAGCCAGTCACTGGGTGGCAGAGGTGATGGCGAAGAGGTGTCGGTGGATGGAGGGAACAGGGGAGGGTCCAAGCCTGTTCAGTGAGAGCGGTCAACAGTACACAAAAGGGAAGGAGCCCGATCTGGAACCGGTTTGTGAGAGAGAAGTCTCCAGCCGTGGGGATGGGTGAGTTCCGCCCAGGGACAGGCTATCGAGAGCCCAGGAAGAGAAGGAAGCCAAGGGCAGGACTCCAGGGGCTGCTGACTTTCAGGACAAGCCAGCAAAGAAGATTGGGAACCAAACAGGAACATAAGCGGGATCGGTAGCATCATGGAGACCATGGCAACAAGAGCTTCCCGGCAGCAGCAGGCAGCGGCACTGAAATCACCGGAGATGCGGTGAGAAGGAACCGAAGTCCTGGACTTGCGACAGGGACTCCTCAGAACAGTTTCAGTGGCCTGTGTGGGTGTCAGGAGGGGCGGAAGGAGCTAAGTCACCTGGCAAAGTATTTTTTATGGATTTTCCCCCTGACTTCTTAGCCTTGGGAAACAGGGGTTGCTGCCACTTGTGTTTTACTAAGGAGGAGGAGGAGGCGGGCGGGGATCAAACTGGCAGCAGGTCACGTGCTGGGAAGGGAGGGCTGGGTCTCGGCCCCATCTGTCCATTGTCAAGATGCCCGCCCCTCTTAGGGGGAAGGGAGGCGCCACTGTGTAGGAGGAGGCCTTAGGAGAATAGAGAAGGCCTAGAGCATCCACCGTGGGGTGGGAGACGATGCTCCACCGAGCAGAGCTGAGGACCCAGGCACGGCTGGAAACCCAGCCCTTGGCGAGGTGGACGCTGCCGTGGTCTCACCATCCTTGGCACTGATGACCGAGTGGCCGCAGCCTCCCAGAGGGTAGCACCCGTGCCCAAATCTTCCGGACGCTGCATTTCTCTCTTGCTGCACAGCTCAGCTGGGTGACAGCGGCTGCTCATCATGAGGTCGGGGCATCGGGGGACTCCGCACGTGATGCTAACCGAGCTCTGCCTCATGGGCCTGTGAAGCTGACTACAAACCATGGCTTTAGCACAAATGTGGCCAGTTAAGTGTAACCTTGTCGCAGATGGACAGATGGCTCAAAAACGCAACCTTTCTGACAAAGATGGCCTTCCAGCAGGCTGGGGCCATGCGCCTGCCTCTCTGCCTGACAATGGTCTCTGTGAAGCCAGACTTCCTTGGTCGGTGGGGGGCGGGGGGCAATATCTTTCATTCCCAGGGGGAGCAGGGGAGCCTGGGAGAGCCAGGGTGGCCTTCTGCAGCGCCCTTAGCATGAGGGAGCCACATACGATGCCAAGGCCCCGGAGACCGGCACAGCCCTGAATGAGGGAATGAGTGAGGTTCCTGTGAGTGAAACGAAGCTCAGAACGGCACTGGACACAGCCTGTGGCCAGCACGGCCCTGGGGCATCAGTCTGACTGTCAGAAGCGCCCAGAGCTGGGAGACCAAGCGGGGAAGAGAGCGGCTAGCAGTGGGTGGTGAGAGCTGAGCTCTGGGGGAAAGTGCTGGGAAGCGGGCACCCCAGAGTCGCTCTGGAAAGCAGGGAGCAGCGCACTGGGCGGAGCTGGCCTTGGGGGTGTCTCCCACAGGCCTCTACAGCCTCATCCTGGTGTTTGCGGCATTCTTCCCCCAGGCTCTCTCAGGGAGTGACGAGTGGCTTCTAAGGGCCCTTCCCTGGACTGTCTGGCTCCCCTCACTTCGGGTACTGGTCGGCAAGCGCAGTGCTTGGACATTTGAAAATGTAAATGGCCAGCCAGAACTGCAGAGGCACCGTCCAAACAGCAAGGCTGAAATCAACATATTCAAGTTGAAACGTAAAACGCCTAAAGCAAATGTCTAAGCAGCTTTATTTGTTCTGGAAATATTGCTGGCTGCAGTGTTCAGCCGGCAAAAATCAGCTGTCCTGTTAATAGTGAACAGGCAAGCAGGATGGGCAGGGGGCAGTGGGAGGGGTGCTCTCCTGAAGCTGGGTGGTGCGACTTCCAGCGGTGCAGTGCCGCCTCCGACAGAGATGTCCTACCCTGGGAGCTCGCACAGGAAAGCAGGGGGCTGTGAGTCCCGGGCCCATCCCCACCCTCACCTGGCTGAACCATCCCTGGGCAGTGGCGCTGATGGGTACAGGGAGGCAGAAGCCTCAGTGGCCCAAGAGGTAGCGGACATGTCCCCGGAGTCTATCCACTCCTTGCCAACCCAGGGTACCTGCCAGGAGCTGATCTCCAAAGCCGCAGCTCTGCCCCTCCTAATTAGCAACCAGGCCGCACACCCAGTCACACGCTGAAGTGATTTACGGAATTTTATGGTCTGTGATTTAGCACACATAGACTTGACTATCTCTATTCTAATTAAATTAACAAAAAATTAAGAGTGACAAAATGGCAAAGATTGATTTATCTAATGCATGCCCTTGCTGCTTAGATAGGTACAAACTTCTTTTAATTTTGAATAACACAAAGGGAACTATCAGGCGTTTCATCTACTCGTTCACCAAAAAAATTAACCATGGATTCAGAAAAGGCTCTTGAGGCCCCCACATTCACTCGTATCGATCATCACACAAGGTGCAGGGCCTGCAGGACAAGAAGAAGTGACCCAGGCACAGGGGATTAGCGTCCAGGTGAGGTCCGCAGACTTGAGGGGCCCTGGCTGGCTTGCTCCCCGTTCCTGCACCAGGATAGCTGCCCTGGAAAGTTGGACTGGAACCAAGCCACGGAGCCACAGTGAAGCTGCGGCCACTTTCAAACCTCTGGCAGAAGCAATGGGTACAAATTGGGCCGCAGGCGGCACTTTCAGAATGGAGCCAACAGCCATCTTTTGCTCCGTTCCCCCTTCTCCCACGTCCCTGGCAAAGCAGCCTTCCCACAGGTGTTTCCTGTAAGAGAAGCCACATCTTCCCCCTGCCACCTCTCCTTTCCCAGGTGGGTCTCACACTGGGAGTCAGAGCAGGGCGTGGCAGCCCTTCCAGCCCCGTGTTTCACTGGGGAGGGAGTTCCATGCCCTTCTCTGCTCCATTACATGTGTGGCTCTGTTGTCGCCTTTGGACTTCTTTGCTCCCACTATACTGGAAAAATAGGGGCAGAGTCTCTGTTCTTCTCTGCATACGAGCACCGAAGGTGTCACTGGCACATGGTGGGGACTCAAGAATCCTCCATGATCATCATCCTTATCACCTCCATCCTCCTTATCAAAATCATCATCACCGTTCTCCTCCACCTCCTCATCATCTTCATTCTTATCTTCAACATCAGCAGCATCACACCACCACCATCATCATCATCTTCAACATCAGCAGCAGCACACCAGCACCACCATCATCATCTTCAACAACAGCAGCACCACACCAGCACCACCACCACCATCATCATCTTCATCTTCGACATCAGCAGCAGCACACCAGCACCACCATCATCACCACCATCATCTCACTGTCATCATCCTGGGCTAGCACTCACATCGAGCTCGCTCTGTGCCATATGTTGTTCTAAGTGCCTTATATGTAGTAACGCGCTTTAATGCTCTCAACAACCCTATGACGTAGATATTCTACGCCCATTTTTACAGAGAAGACTGTAGCACATAGAAGTTAGCGTAACTTGTCCAAGATCAGTTACTGGGCAGGCAGGACCAGGGTTTTAACCGGTCTGAATCTAACCGGCGCCGGAGTCTGGATTCCAGATTGCTACACTACACGTTAGATGAGTGAGAAGGAGTAAATGAATAATGAGGCATCTGAGTTAAGTGCACAGAGAAATGTTCAGTGGGTGTCAAGGAGCCTTGGGGAATAAAACATGCTTTTCTCACTATTCATATTTGGCAACAATGTCCATCCTGGCCCTCCCTCTTCCTTTTTGGTGGCAAAGATCTTAGTGTGTTAATGACGTAGGAAGCCCTGCAGGGTCGGGACCTGCACTCTCCACGTGGTCTCAGTGGCATGCCCTTGATTTTTACGATTATGTGACTATCTTGCTGCTTACCACCTAGAGCGCTAAGCTCCATATAAGCATGGAGATAGTCTGGTTTTGTTTATCATTATATTCCCAGTGTTTAGCACAGTGCCTGGCACTACTAGTTACTCAGTAAATAGATACTGGTTGTAT